CAAACGACGCACACATTCTTGAAGTTGTCAACGTTTTAAGTCTTCATGAAGACCAAAGATTTTTTTACTTGCACACTAAATAATGCTGAGTTAAAAAGGGACAAACCCAGCTATTGGGTTGTTTTGTTCAAAATAGCTGGGTTTGTCCCTTTTTAACCCAGCGCTGGGTTACATTTAACCCAGCATTTTTTAGAGTGTACCAACAGGCAAACTTCTTTTTAGCGGTTGGCAAACAATTTGACTTATCTTCTTATGGATGCTTCTTCCGGTTTCAAAATAATAAGAATGTGACGTATTTGGAGATGGGCGTGGCTTGTGACTTCAAGTTTGCATGTGGGCGGGGTTGGATGTCCACCGCAGGCTGCAGCAAGACGCTCCTCACACAAATGGCAGACAAACGGAATGAAAATGTAACTCCACTGTCTGACAGCAGGTGGCGCTGATGAAACGGCAGAAATGTTTTAATGTTTCTACAGTAACCACTGTAAACAAAGCAGCACTGAGCTTATAAACATCGCTTTATTAGGCATTACACAGAGGGAAGATGAAAAGCAAATGCCAGCGAAACGTTTCTGAAGACTGAAAAAATTCATTCATATAGCTTTCATTGCTTAATGCTGAGCGGTATTTACCATTTTTCCAAATATTTATAGATTAATCCTTATTAAAGATGATGGGGTTATTCAGTCAAGAGCAGATCTGTGATTTTTCTTTTGTTCATAATTAACATTAATTGATAGCAACATAGCCTATATATTAAAAACTACTGTCGCTATCAGACCAAATGCAGGGATCTGACACACACATCCGATTTTCTCCCAACAGTTTACGTTCATTTAAAACGTTTTATTTTAACTCCGTTAAGACTGCGCTTACGAGGATACTCGTAACTAAATGTTGTGTGTATTTGTCCGTTGAGGTGCAATAAGAAGCTGCAATAACTCAGCGCTGTGTGATGAGACGCGGCTCTCTGTGTGCGCGTGCAGAAAACAGCGCTGTATTCATAAAGCAAAATATACTGTAGGCCATCAAATTTGAGTGAAAATCATCCAAAATCGCTGGCAGTAGCTGGCAACTTTTTTCAAAAATACTGGCGGGGGAAGAGGTAAAAGGGGGGGGGGGGGGGGGGGGGGGCATGTCCCCCTGACGCCCCGGGAACTGCACCAGTTTTACCATCAGCAGTCCGTCAGTGTGTTTGTAAATGATTACTCTGAACTTATGTTAAGCACCCTCATGGGTTAAATGGGATCTGTGCAGTTTCAATCTTTATGTGCTTGACTAATCAGTCACAGATGTGCTTTAAATGCACTGCAACAAAAACCTCTCACTTTTATTTCCCAGATGCATACTTTGCATGTCGCATACTATTTCAGAATGCAGTGTTTCAGACACACATGAAACACTGTATTTTATGACTGAAAATCTGTTCTGTCAAGGCCAATAAAATGTTTTCTCTGTCCTTCTAGAAAAACGTAGTATGGATGATGCATGTCAGACCCGTTAACCCACTTGTGCCATTACCTGTCCTTCTGAGTCACGTGACCTTAAGAGTAACCCATGTGCTCGTCTGCCTCCTGTGGGTCTGATGCTGCCATCACAAACATCTCTCCATTTAAAGTGCTTTCCCTCTTGTAAATATGATATACATTTTTGCCTCATTTTTGTGTTTACTGAGGTTACGGTAATTGGAAAGTGGTGTGTTACTGTGCAACGGTTATTTTTAGACATTTAGCAATTGTGGTATAGCCTCTGCTATGCTAATTGAGTGTTTGGAGAACATATTCTGAAAAGAGACCACAT